TGCCACTCGAACAGGCAGCAAGCTCACGAAGCTAATATTTGAACCATGAAAGTGAATCATAGTCAGGTTTCCAAGAGATTGTAATATAACCAGCGACTTCGAATTCAAGATTAGCTCACCTGTAGTGAACTTTCCAGGATGTTTGATAACGCAGTCTCCCGTTTTTGACATGCACTTCTGTTTACCGCACTGAGCGCAAGTTGGTAACTTGGAAATGGCCGAACAAAAATAGCAGAAAGCTCGGGTCTTCTGATCGCGGAGACATTGATCACACTGCTGAAAGATACCAAGCCATTCTACTTCTCAGCAGAAAAGTGAACAACTCATACGTACCATTTGTGTATTGCATGGATGTTCCGCGAGAGGCCTTTCTCCACTTCTGATTTTCTTCTGCAGCTCGCGCTGTTTTTCTGCCTTCTTTCTTTGGCCTGTTTTCTTCTTCGGCATAATTACAGACAGTAGTGAAAAAGCGCTAGTGGTAGCTGCTTAAAAAACAAGTTGCGGTTATTCTAGTCTTGTTGTTAGAATGCGTTCATACTTCGCGATCCAAACGTTAAGATCGCGCGACCATGACAGCAGGCGCTCTACCACCACTCGGTGGACCGCTACAACGACATTAGGGAAGAAGAGCCCATTGACAGCGGTGGAGCACCCCTCCCCCCCCCTAGAATTGTCTGCGATCCAAGCGTCCTGTTATGATGAAATCACCGCCTAAGAAGAGAAGGGTATTTTCAGTGGTAGCAATTCGCTCAAGTTGAGGAAAAAGTAACCTTGGTTGCATCCGCTCGTCCTTTCACAGATCTGGGTGGAATGCCGCCCAAGGTTCATAGCAAAGGAGTAAACGAGTGTAGCATTACCAGCCAAGATGCAAGAGAGAGTCAGCAACTACGAACAAAGGAAGAAACATTGTTTTAAGAAGTTGGAGGATTTTGTGTGCGTTCACGGGGTGTCTGTCAATCCGATACTCTCACTGTGAGGGTTCAGAGCTATTTCTCACGCATTTGCCGATTGAGTATTTCAAGGGAAGAAAATAAGGTGGAGTGAAGAGAGAATGAAGTAACGAAAAGAAGGAAGCAAGAAGAAAAGGAAGGAGGAGGGCTTCGCGTTCAGGGCACATCGTTTGTTGGGGAATCCCCAGAATCCCCAATAGGGGGGCTCGTATTTGGGCTGGGAAAAATTTGTTTTGATGGTTGATTTTTCTCGCTTCACGGACGTTGTGAAGTCTGGGTCGTATTCACTTTCTGGCCTTTCTAGGAGGGTGGTTGACTTGACTTTTTCGGATTTCGTGTTTTCATCTGATGGCGATTTTCATGTCGTTATATACCCGCCCCTCCCCCCCCCCCCGCTCGGATCGGCCGATTCAGATGAATGAGGGGGACAGAAGGTCGGGAAGGGGGCTGGGGGGGAGGTAAGGGCGCGTACGGACCGTCTCAAATCCCCAACCAATGTTGTGCACTGTTCGCGCTTAACCTTTACCCTGAGACCGTACCCCTACATTATGGCTTTCTCACACAATCTTTTTTTCGCATATTCTCCAGAAGCGCAACTATTTGGGGGGAGGCCGAAGAAACTCAGTCATTCAAACCTAAGCGATAACCTGCGCATGGTCTGCTAACAGTTCGCGAACACTGCACACTTCTCAAGGGTGCGAAAATTGTGTCTCATCAGCAACTATCTTGATTATTCTTGGAAGCTATAAGGAATGAGTTTCCAGATGCCAAGCAAATAGTTGCCGAGCTCACCGCCCTGGGAGTTGCTAATCTAACGTAATTGCGTGCACAAAACTTGATTCATTGTTGATACATATAATAATTGATTGCACAAACTTTCGTGAGGGTTTTATAGTGTAGTTCGCTGCGGACGGTTGGGCGTGTCAGGCGGGATGAGTTTGGCGCAGTGCCAAACCCGCTCTCCACAAGATGTTAAAACGAGCTAGTGTATGACTGTATCATATCGTTCGTATTACTCTTTTTCTACCACTTTTTGTCGCATGCGCGTTCCAACAAGAAGGCAGATAACGGCTTTGACGCCCGCGACACACTCATACAGCCTGACATGCCTAATCGTCCGCAGCGAACTAGAGTGTAGCTACGCTGCCATGCAAGGAGCACTTGGTGTGGATGATTGCTGGGCCTCTGTCAACCAAACATTTCCCGCTGGGAGAGTCCAGAAGTATTTCCATCGCATCCCAGAAGTATTTCCATCGCATCTATCGGTCGAGCATTTAGAGGGAGAAAAGGAGGAGCGAAGAGAGAAGGGACGCAAAAGAAGGAAGGAAGAAGGAAAAGATAGGGATGCTTCGCTGTTGACAAGTATCCTGAAAGCTGGTGGGATAAGTGGGCGCGCCCCAAATGACAAGTCTGTAACGCAACTGCACGAAGCTTGGGACCTGTCGACGATTTTTGCAGTGGCTCTCCGTGATGTTTTGCTTATTATATGAGTCAACTGTACAAATGGTCAAATCTGTGAGTGGATATTCTCTTGTGGAAATCGCTGACCGACGATGAGCAAACAGATGTTGTCGAATTATACTCTCCTGCAAGTTCCCAGGAACTTCATCAGGTATGTTATCCCTAAAGTCACAGTTCTATTTGGATTTTAAGTAGCTGAGAAAAGCGTCATTCGGTTTGGCGATCTAGTAGTGCCTGCGCATCACCAGTTACTTACAGATTGTAGTTTCAAAAGGTCTCATTTCTTATAATTGTTTATATCTTGTTTCTCGATGAAGCAGTCGCGGACTGAAGTTCTTAACGCGGTGGTAGCACATAAACTGTAGGGATATTGTAAAGTGTGGAACTAGGATGATTCAGCTTCTCACTACTATACTTAGGACAATATTGAAGTCCGACGTTGGGCATTTATTCCATGGCGTCGTGAGGGTTCCATGATACTGCATAGTGGAGGACATTATATGCCTCGACCATAAGTTCTCTCCCTGCAAGGGTCCAAGTGTATTTACTCATTGCATCTTGCAGGGAGGAAAATACCACAAGGACGGTGTGGTGTTGTTTAGAATAAGAGAATGGAAGGCTGCGAAGGAGAAGATGGAGAAGAATGAAGTCGGATGGGAAGGAAAAATGGAAATAAACCTCGGCCATATATAAACAAATGATTGAGTAAAATAGAGTGATTCCCTCTCAAGGGTGGTCGAATGGTGATCAGGATGAGATGTGGAGATCTCTAATATCTCGAGGAAGGAAGGAAAAAGAAGAGAAAAGGAAGGAGGATGAAGGCTCAGCGGTTGAAAGATGTTGTAAGACCCTACGACACTGTCATCGGTTTTGCTGCTCTCCAAGGAGCGCAGTATCCGCCAAAATGTGTCGGGAGGGAATTATGGCAAACTACTGTAGTGTAAATAAAACTGGTAAATAAAACAGAGACAAGGGACGCACTGAATGGAAGTCGAGTACGTGGCGCTTTCATAGGAGTGGTCAAATCCCTCGCTGCTGAAACAGTTCCTTTTGGTAAGAGGCACGATTTTTAGGCTAACCAATATGCAGGCTGTAGTGGCTCTCTGACTGCAGTGGCACAATGACTTGCGGGCATCAGCCGATTTGCAAGATTTCAGTTTCATATCCTTCCAGGCGAAACTCGGGCGTTCACCGTTCCCGGAGGGTGGAAGGCATGGTCGGCCTTGGACGGGAGTCGATCGGAGATTTGACCCCCGATATGGTACAGTTTAATTTCCGCTAGAATAATGTGACGTCGTAAGGCCGCGTACATATAGTGTAATTCACTGCGGACGGTTGGGCGTGTCAGTGCGGCTGCGTTTGGCGCGGTGCCAAACTCGTTCCCACCAGTTGTTGAAGCGGGCAAGTGACAATACTGTATCATATCCTTCGTATTACTCGTTTTCTACCACTTTTTGTCGCATGCGCGTTTCAACAAGAAGGCAGAGAACGCTTTGACGGGGTGACACACTCATGGGGACACGCCCAACCGTCCGCAGGAACTACGGTGTAGCTTGCGATCATGAAGAAATGCAGAAATGAAGAAATGCGGAATCTGGGGAAATGACTAAAAGCATTTATACATATCGATCTTGAAAAAGATCAGAAATGTGGATAACTGCAAAAAAGTGTGCGGAAAGTGCAAAATGAGGAAAAGCATTACATACATATCGATTTGAAGAAATGTAGAAATGCCGAAACTGCAGAAGTGGGGGAAGTGTGCGGAATCTGGCACTTTCTGCATTTCTGCAGATTCCGCACTCCTTCACTTCGGCATCTGCTGCATTCTTCAAATCGATAGCGTATATTGTATCACTGCGGATGGTTGGGCATGTCAGGCGGGAAGAATTTGGCGCGGTGCCAAACCCGTTTTCCATCAGTTATTAAAGCGAGCAAATGACAAGACTGTATCATATCGTTCGTACTACTAACTCTCTCTACTGCTTATCGCATGCTAGAAGGCAGGGAAGGTTTCGACGGTGTGAACACTCATACTGCCTGACACGCCCACCCAACCGCAGCGAACTAAAGTGTACCTGTTGCTTTTCGTCATTTCTGTAGGCTCGCGCACTCTGCATTCCGCTATTCTGGCATTCTCACAGGTCGCTAAGCTTATAAACGCGGCCTAAGATTGGCCACATGCAACGATACCATCTGCCCCACAGCCACCCACGCTCGTTGCTGAGGAACTCCAATGGGGGTCGTATTTTGGTCGTCGAGTCGTCTTTGGTTGGGGAAAAATTTATTTTGATAGTTGAGATTTTATCTCTGCTTCACGGGCCGTTATAAAGGGGCAGGGTCGCGTGTCCATCCTCGCGCTTTCCTGTTCACATGTGCTATTTACCCCTTTCTCCCTCCTGCCCACGGCTCAGAAATCCGATGAGGAGGAACGGAGGGTCGAGGGGGGGGTCCGGCTCGTAAACCACCCCCCCCCCAAAAAAAATAAGGGGTCGTACCGAGTCGACTAAAATCCCCAACTTATGATGTGCCCTGTCCCCTCAGGCGCTTTCTATTGAGTGGCTCAACAACTGCTTCATTGCTATCTGCTTCATTTCTTACACCTCAAGCGGGAGAGGTGCACTAAAAGCGTTCCGACATATCCTAGATGGAGATGTGGGCCAGAGGTGGAGGGACCCTCCTGCTGCAGCTGGAAGCGAACTCAAATCCGCTGCGGGAATTCCGCCGTGCAGCCCTACACCAAGACAAAAAAAATGCATTTTTTTTGAGAGGTGGATACTTTTTAAAACTCAAAAAAGCTGTAAAAAAACTCCGATGAAGTTTTGGAGGGCAGATTCTTCTTCTTCAGGATCTTGTTTGATGCGAAGGTTCCATCAGGTTCTCATTCTTTACGTGGATATGGAAGCTCTCTGTTTACGAAAGTGAGTCAAATAAAAGCTTTAGTGAATTTCTAATCACCACAATTGCTTGTTTTGGGCAGGAGCGATACGTCTTCATCAGCGGTTGCAAAGAAGAGGGACCGGAACTCAGGTGGATAGAACTGCTGCTGTAGAAGGATTCAGGTTTCCATGGCCATTCCCTAAGCAACCATCGTCGTTCTATAATATGATATCGTATTTCACAATAGGATCCGTAGCAACAGTGTCAAAGCTGCTCTTCATAAGAGGTAACGTAGCCCTAACCAGAACGCTCTTCGAGAAAACAGGAGATAATCCTGATTTTTAGTGGCTAACGAACTCGTTGTACATAATAAAGAGCGCTTCATGAATATCTGGATGGATAAGTCACGGCCTTTGATCACCATTTCTAATCACAGAAGTAACATGGACGATCCCCTCATGTGGAGTAAGTTGATATTGATGAACTCCATTTTTGTCGATATTGTTTTGATTGTATCTATTGAACTCTATCAACTCAAATCGAGGTTTTATAACTACACGGGAAATGTGCAGAAATATTCAACGTCACCGTTACACATTGGCTGCACATAACATATGCTTCACAAAGCCTCTTCACACTAGGTAAATTTTCCGATATCTTTTTTATGCTGAATCATGTACAGCTCGCCGTTACGTTCTAGATTCTTCTCTCTTGGTCGATGTGTTCCTTGTGTACGTGGAGAAGGGGTGTATCAGAAAGGCATGGACTTCTGTGTGGAAAAATTAAATGAGAACGGTTGGGTCCACATGTTTCCTGAAGGTCGTGTGACGATGGAGCCACTCCGGTCAGTCGCGTTCCCATTCTCAGTTTTCCTTGTTTAACTCGGCGAACGCAGTTTACTTTAGAGGTTGGGAAGTTCTGATATCTCTGAAAAACAATTCATGTGCGTGCGTGCGTGCGTGCGTGCGTGCGTGCGTGCGTGCGTGCGTGCGTGCGTGCGTGCGTGCGTGCGTG